GATGCTGCTATTTTAACAACTATAAAGAGTACAGTCAGCATGCCAAAAATGAAGGGTACATTAAAGTGAATAACACCAACAATATTCATAGCCTGTAATTTGTTTTAATTAGTTTTAAACAATAAAAATTATGTTTCCTTCTTTCAACAGTATGTGTTCAACGAAGCATTTATGATCATCAATTTGATGATTACAATTGCGGCGCTGTGATAATGAAATCTACACAATGTCGGTATCGAATTAAACGTAGAAAGATTCATATATCCCTTGACTGAGAGTACTTTTTAATCCAAGAATGAACTCCTCTTTTATTATTTTATTATTAAAGAAGGATCCTGGGCTGCAGAACGAAGATATAATGGTGAAAGAAGTCGAACGGCTCTTATATCTAAACACTGACTCTCTCGGCTTCAAAACAACCAAGCACCAGTCTAATGTTTACTTTTTGCTGATGTTTTCATTATAATGTAGCTTTTTCGGCTGCGCCTCAAAAACCGCTCAAAGAAAAACTCAAGCTGATTTTGATGCATGTTTTTGCGATGTGTTATGTTATTACTTGGAGGCCGTGTAGCATAGTATATTGACTTCCAGTTTTTTAGATGTGAAATCGACTTCTTTTTCCAAGTGAATGGCGAAGAATTCGAACTGCTCACGAAACACTCATTTCGATTAAATTAGGTTACTTTGGTGTTGAGATTGAATTCTTTTCCCAGTATACTATGAGTGAAAGCAAGAAATTTGCTAATCAGTACAAATAACTAATAATACAAGGTTGTCAAAAGCTCATACCCGTCTGTCCTCAAACATGCAGCAGTCTATTGTTTATTTTTTGCTGATGTTTTCATTAAAATGCAGCTTTTTCAGCGGCCCCTCAAAAACCACTTGAAGAAGAACCCAAGCTGATTTTGATACATGTTTTAGAACAACATAAAAGGATTATGCTGGCGAAGTTTGAGGGAATTTGGAGTTATGGCACATGTCGAAAAATATCTCCGGATTTTATTCCTAAACTGGGAATATCAGCTGCGTAAACAAAAGCAATTTTTCAACAATTGAGGATTTTCCTTGACGGGGGCTCAAGACAAGTTATAGGCTGTTTTTGATAGCTGAATACTTTGTCTTTCAAGAAAAAGTATCAGGAAGTTTTGGTTCTTTTTGACACACGAACGCAAATTAAGTTTAGATTTCTATTTTCAGCCTTTGCGTTCAACCAATTTGGCCATAGTCGGGGCGAAATTCGTTTTTCTTGATTTTCACGAATTTAAAGCGTTTCAAGCGGAAAAAACTATATCACATTTCGTATCTACCTAAGGGCTATACGTGGATGAAAATAGAGAAAATCATTTTTTCGACTTCTGCCACTAAATTTAAATTTTACTTGATTTTTGGTGACATTTGCTCTTAATTCCCTAAGAAAATAATTTTGCGCCCAAATTGCGAAAATGAACATATGGAGACCCATTCTGGTAAAAATGGTGCATTTAATTTTTAACTTTGCATGAATTTATTTTACATGTTGATAAAATTAATTTTTCGCATCTCTTAAATATTTTTTTTAACCTCCAAATTAATTTTACCATTCCTATTAATTATATTTTTAGTAGACAAATATTTTGTGTGTTTGTAATTAATTTTGTGTTTGTAATTAGTTTTGTGTTTCTCAACATCCCTTTACCCATAACACCTTGCAGTAGTTCTCTGCCATGTGCTGCCAAACAAAGATGGCAACGACCCCTTTGAATTCGATTCCCGAACAAGTGAAAGAAATTGCACAAGCTGCGATCGACAGTATTAATCAGCTAACCTCGTTAATTGAGCACGGACCATGAACGACAAGTGGAACTCCAAGAATTCGTAGCAATGCACATGTGACTGAAGTTGCAGACGGAGCTGAACGTCAACTAACTGCATCAGGGACGACTTTCGTTTGCCACACCCAGCCAGCTAATAGCGCATTAGCAGAATTACAGAGGAGGTTTCTGACAGTTTCAAGAGGGAGAGCCGCAGCCAACAGAGACCCCGTCTCTGGAAGGCACAGAAGACCTTCTAATTCTACCTCGCGACCGTATCCAACTGTTCAGAATGTAAGGCACTCTGCTGGTCAACCGTTGGCATCTGAGATAGTTTCAAAGGATGTTATGATACTAGAAATGGGAAGAGAGAAAATACCGACGAAAGCAGAAAATTCTGATTTAGAGAGGAGTGGACGAATTATATCAGGCATCGATATTGATAGAAATTGGAATGCCAAAAAACTTCACCAAGAGTTAGCGAAATTATTGACAGGTGAAATGGAGGGATGGTATTTCAAAATAGTAAAGAACTCTGGTGGTACTTTGCTAAGACCGAACATCCAGGCAGGAAAAGAGATTGATTCAAAGCTGCTGCTGAAATCGATTGCTCCATCTGGTTGGATCTATTTAAGACTCCTGGAGGAACTGCCATCCATGATAAACAGTGATAAACAACTAGAGGTTCCTGTATTTGAAGTTCCTGAATCTGACAAGCTCTTGAGTGATGCTAGTGGTAGAGACAATTTGTTTTGTAATATCGTGGATTCGACAAAAGATTCTGATGTGAGTGTCCAATTCTCTCGACATATGTCAGACACCAATGCTGATGCCTCTAATACAAATGCAGAATCAGTGTTCAGTACAAGTAAGATTCAGCCACCCTTGAGTTCATTTGATATCCAGTCAGTAATCAAAGGTGCTAAAGTTCAGGGTTTGATTGACCCTGTAGAAGTGCTTAAATTTCTGCAAAAAGAGATTGTAACTGGCTGAGCCTTAGAAGTTACAAGCTGTGAAGAAACCATAGAGGGAGAAACAAATTACATTACTGTTGACAGGGCAAATATATTAGAAACAACGATTAGTGAATTACAATACATTACAAATTATAGACTGACATTTCAGGTGGACTGCATGGGAGAAGAATGTGTAGATCAGGGTGGGCCAAGTAAGGAATGGATACGACTAATGAATCAAGCCATTAAAGAAAAGTACTCTGACTATGGCTTGAGGCCATTATTAGCACAAGATTACTATTTTGTTGGAGTTATGATGGCAGTTGCCATGCTTCAAAATGGGTAATTGCCTGTATTTGTAGAGGAGAGCACTCTGCAGCAAATTGTTTTTTGGGAGAGTGTTTTGACCCTTGTGTTTGCCAAATTCAGCACGGACTAGAAGAGCTTGGAATGCTGTCAGCTCTTCGGGAACTGCCAATGTTGGTTCATCTCCTGAGACCTCAAGCACAGAGTAAGTTGAGTGTGCAAATGCTGCTTCAGATTTTGAAGCCTACCTTTTCAGAGGAGGGTTTCAATACACTGAAAAAGGAAAAAGTTTATTAACTCTTTGTCAAGTATGTTTGAGAAGTGGCAGCTTCTTGGAGGGTGTGTGGGCAGACTACCCTTGATTTGAGTCACATACTTCAGTTTGCAACAGGTACAGCAGAGGAGCCTGTCCTTGGTTTCAGCCTTGCGCCATCATTGGAGTTTATACTACCCAAAGAAATCATGAAAGCTGCAAGTCAGGAAGGACTCAATGATGAGCAGAAAGGAGAGAATGATAAGCAGCAGGAAGAACAAAGGGAAGAGCAGCACCCACCTGTGGAGGGTGGCTTCCTCCCTTTAGCTCATACCTGTACCAACTTGCCCGAGCTTCCAAGGCCAACTGAGAAAGTTCCTTTGCCTCCTGTGGATAGATTATTTGCTCTGTATGACTTAGCATTCTCACAGAGCTACTTTGGCAAGAAGTAAATAGCCTGCAGTCTATGGCTGATATTGCCATTTTTGACTTTAAAGTGCTAATGAAGTGCTGTTTTTCTTGACAAACATTGAGTTATGCAGGTTGAGTTCTTTTGGTCTTTATGGGTGTGTAGATATTGTTTAATTGAGTGCTGGCCATTTGACCAAGTGTCCTGATCATTTTGCGATTTAAGAACTCGCGCTCGTTTGCTTGCTTACATGAAATATCTTGGAAATATCCAATTAAATAGACTGAAAAGCCCCAGGATCGACTCTCCACTTCTTCATATCTAAGGCTACTGTTATTATCTGCTTTACAGCTCTGAGATGGCCTTAAGATGTTTTTTGGGGGGCTTCGAAGAGTATTGTTTTCTGCCATAATCACGGCGGCATGAGAGTAATGCAACCAGTGACGTCACTAGGCTATTTGGGCGCGCCAAGATGGCCGCCAATTTTGGGCTTAACCAGCCAACTTCGAACGGCTGAAAAAGCAGTTTTCGCTTACCGTATGCGAAAAAAAGTCTGCATTGTGTTCCAAGTAAGGTTGAAACTTTATTACTAAGCAAAAATCTCACATACGAAAATTTTGTTTCAGTAACACTTTAACCCTTTAACATTTCTTTTGTGTGTCGCTCGTTTGTGCTGTTCAGTTATCAACAGATTTGTAGCAAAACATGGAAAGAGAAGAATGGAAAATTAAATATAGTTTTTAAAGTGGTTTAGTTTCACTTCTGGTAATGGCTACTGTATTTACTGTGGTTCCTTTGAAAAAGGATTTTCATCAAATTAGTGAAGGATACCTCATCAACTTGAAAAGCTCTTTTGTTATGAAATAACACACATGTTTTAGTCATCATTCGCTGACAAACGATAAATAGAGCCAAAAAATTAAACGTGAAAAAAGTTGTAGGGGCTACACCCTAAAAGAGGAATCAAATATAAGGTAAGGAACTTAAGCAATATAAAACGTCTAAAATGTTGATGGCATAAATACATCATACCTCCGTCTTGAGCAAGGTTTTTTGAAGATGTTTTGCAGCATCGTCAAACAATTCTTTTCTGTACGATCGCTAAAATAGAGAAAGCAAAAAAAGAAGACAGCTTCTTAAGATAGTCAGAAGTATACACTCAGCATTTTCTATTGGAGGTCCACGAATCTGATTGGCTCTCTCACTATTGTCTGTTATAACCTTACAGTGCTTCCGACAAGGACCTGATAGTTGTCGCGGAAATTAAGAGTTTTAACAAAACAAATTGTTCGTGGAGTTATATCCCAGTTTCTTAGAACGAAATATTTCCAAGGGCAACTATAAGCTCACTAGCCCGAGATGTAAACAATCCATTGTCTATATTTTCCTAGATTACATTTCCAACCAGTCTCCTCTGAAGCCGGAGTATTGCGTGACATCCCAAAAAACAGCTGCAGAGGAGGCTAATTTTAAACCGGAGATTTTGATTTTCCATTAAGGTATCCTTCTTCAGGTCAAATTCAATTTGCACGCATACAAACAATTTTGGCTTGCAAAAACACGGACAAACCATAGCTTTTCTCCAATTTCTTGAACCACTTTGCAATCAATTTTGTGCCACCTTCGTAAAATAGAGGCCTTAATAACAGCTTCTTGACCTTTACCGTACAGTAGTTTACCACAGTTTTCAGCCGAAAAACTACATGTTCGATCATTCTCATTCTCATGAAAGGGTTATTTTTTTAACTTCATCCACACAAATTTAGGAGGGTTGCGCTCCACTGTTTGGGAAGTATCTTTTGATAGTATGCCCATCGCAAATATCAGAAATAAGTGTGCAGTGGCAGGAGGTCGTCCACATAATAGCAACCGTCGTTTTCTCATTTTTGCCAACGTTTTAGGAAAACGCAGAAATCTTGCTGGATAATTCCATTTCTAAGAACACCAAGGTAGGAAAATTGAGCCGTCAAAATGTCCAATAAACTGATGAGTGAGTGTAAACAGCTGCAAGTTTCAAACAACAGTTCAATCTTTGCTAAAGTGTGAGGTTTGAAGGACCACGTCATGGGTTTGCGCATCTTGAAAAGTTTAGCTTAAATTTTTCAAGTTCATCTTTTGCAATCCGTGTCAATCTTCTCCATCTTAACCATCGTTGTTTTTTTATGTTTTATTATTATCTCCGTCTTAAGTGTTTTTCTATCTTAGTAAACTATTATTTTCAGGTTTCCTTGAGTTTAAAGGTAATTTTGTAGGTGGCCAAAATAACTCAAAATGCCATGACTGAGTTCCTTTAAAACTACTTCACATGAAGAGAAATAACTAGATATCCCTAGTTAAAGGAAATTAAGTTGGAATTCTACTTAAACAATTACATTATTCGCTGTCTCTCCTATAACCTCATGGTAGTCTCAGGCTCATAATCGTCAATTAGTAAAATTCAATAATATACTAAATCAAATGCTGCAATCTGATTGGCTGAGGTATCATACACTGTTGCAGTTGTGTGACCTGTTGTGGCAAGACGTGTGTCTGAGAGCTCTGTGAACTAGAACGATGTTCCTTTAGTCAAACCCTTCATAGTTTAGTAGATAATCAAAAGGCTTTTTAAGCCAACTCGTGATAATTGTAGCGGACATGTTTCATGTTCTACATGTAACAAGGGTGGTTCAAAAGGATTTTGAGGAGTTTGTATGTTGCGTGACATAGCATAAATCTTACAGCAGTTATAAATTTACAAACAATCATTAAGCTTATTTACTGTAGGTGGAACACTTGAGCTGTTCGGATTGTAACAGCTACTGATAAAGTAATAGCTAGTAGTGAGTTAAAAAACTACATGTATTATGTACAAATACTTAATAGTTAAAGTAAGTAAACAGTATTCTGCAACAAATTGCCCTGAGTTACATGACTTGAACATCCGTACAATTAATTTTAATAATGTCGAAATATATTTAGTATTAACCTACTAGCATTCTATCACGAATGCCGTTCTCTGATTGGCTACGCTACTCACTATCTATTCTGTGATAAATAGTGAGTAGCGTAGCAGTGTACACTTGCTAACAAAATGACGGCCGCTTCTTGGCGCTTTCGAAGTGTCTGTGAAGAAGAGTTAGACAAAATGTTTGAACTACTAGTAGATTTATACTAAAACAATTAGATTATTCGCTTTCGATTTCTATGCGTGATAGTTGACTCGGGCTGTGCCCTCGTCAACCATCTTGCGATAGAAATCTCAAGCTGATAATCTAATTCTTTAATATAAAAAAAAACTGGATAAGGAAGTGATGGCAGTTCACTAATTCCCAAACATTAGCTAACAGGTTATCATCATGAAAAATGAGTATTTCCTGTCATGTTACAACTGCTCCAAGGTTTACTTGATTTAACTCTTATATCCTTAGATTGCTGCTTTCAGGTAGCATTTTTTGAATCAAGGAAACTGAATGAATGCTTATTTACATACAGTGAACTCCTAATTTTACTAACCTCCAAGGGAAAAATAGTTAGAAAAATCGGGGGTAAAAAATCGGACTAAAACGGCATTTTGGTTCCAGTAATCGGATGGCTAAAAAGATTGAGGGTTAGGGAAATCGGGATGCCCACTGTGATTTGTGTTTTAAGATTTAAGGGACGACTTTTGTTTTCAGAAGATTATATTGATATAAGTCAGGTCTGAGTCGAGGAAAAAAAACAAAAACCAAACACAAAGAACAAAAAAAAAAACAAATTGCCCACTTAAAATTTGTGATGATTTGTTTATGTAGGTACCAGATATTAAAAAAAATCTATGAGACCTAATTCCCTTATTTCCACACCTTTATCACACCTTTATCTTCCCAGTGATTGCCTTCTCACTTGTACCAATTCAACACCCAGATACTGCCATTTAAAACAACAGTCCAACCGAATGGAATCAAACTAAGAATAAGCCCACAAGTACGCATTGCCGACCTATTTTTCAAATAGTGGAGGTGTGATTACATTTGCTCCACTTGCGTGTATCAAATAGGAGGAGAGTGTCAGAATGAACATGCAAGGTGAATAAAATAGGTTGAAAATTTACCCGGTGTGAGGTCATATCAAGAAATCATTGTGACAGCTTTAACCTTTCAGAGTGTCCACTAAAACTATTAGACTACCCTTCATCATTTTCTCTGAGCAATAGTCACCTCGGCTATGCCTCATTGACAATTCGCTTTTAGTATAAATCTATTAGTGTTCTATCACGAATGCCGTTCTCTGATTGGCTACGCTACTCACTTTCTATTCTGTGATAAATAGTGAGTAGCGTAGCAGTGTGCGCTTGTTAACAAAATGACGGCCGCTTCATGGCATTTTCGAAGTGTCTGTGAAGAGGATTTCGATAAAGTTTTGAACGACTAGTAGATTTATACTAAAACAATTAGATTATTCGCTCTTGATTTCCATGCGTAATAGCTGACTCGGTTGTCAACTATCACGCGACAGAAATCTTGAGCTCATAATCTAATTGTTTAATAGAAAAATTCTGGCTCGTAGTCTAATGGCCAATTCCCTCTGATCTACATGTATGAGACATGTCTGCAGGGAAATACTGTAGCTGTATTCAACATCTTGGACTGGATATTTTTTTGATTAATACCACATACAAATATATGCAGAGAAATAACAGAAATCACTATTTGAAAGAAATTTAGCCAACATTTTACTCAAACAATTAGATTATTTGCTCTTGTATTCTATGAGGCCTGCGGCCTTAGTAACAAACTGAATTACTTTATAGAAATCTCGCGCTCAGAATCAAATTGTTTAAAATCAGGTAAATGTGTGTACACAAGGAGCTAGTTAAGCTTTGAAAATGTGAACAACTTCCTGTTTTGGCATTATTGTTTTTTGGTCTGATAGACTGGTCAGTAGGTTACGCCTACTCAGGCGTAAGCTTCTTAATGACTGTTTTATTTAATATTTACTCAACATTTGTCTTCTTTTTAAGTTATCATTGTTATGTGTTTGGCTTTCTGCGTTTTTAAATTTTGTAATGTAACATTGACTCTGAAAAGCCCTGTGGGGACGAGCCAATAAAGTATGTATGCATGTTATGCTAAAACAATTAAACGACTCGTTGTCGGTTTCTACTGTCTTTAACCATTGAATTGGGGCCTTGCCCCCGTCAACTCTCGGCAGATAAAAAAATTGAGCTCACTGTTGAGGTGTTAAATAAATGCCCATGCAAGAATGTACCACTACCAAGTAATCAGTTTTGACCAATTACAACATAGGAATATTTAAGTGATGAATTATGACAGTTCATGGAAAAAGCAGTGTCAAGTAGAAAGTCAAATGAAATTTCAGTGTAGCCCAAACAAACAAGACTAAGTTGGACCACAGAACATTATCAAATTAACGGAATATTAAGGAGAATCTCACATTAATTCAGAGTTTTTGATTTGCCCAAAGAAACGAAAAGAAATTAGGAAAGAAACGAAAGAGAAAAACAAGGACAAGTGAACAACGTGTAACAAGCAAATCCACCGTAGCAGCACAGCAATTCCACTAAAGCGACAACATAATGACAAGAAAAACCTATAATATTTTTCCACGTTCTCTCTGAAGGTTCGTGTTTAGTTTCTCTACAGTGTAACTGTTATACTTTCCCCCTCCTCTAATGCTGAACTGTGGTTTCAAAGAATGTTGACTAGTACTCAAAGGGTGTTGACTCATTCGTGACTGTCTGCTACTGCTCTTTCTGTTTCATTCCCACTTTTTTTCCACGTTATCCTAAGTACACCACTTCCATTAGTGCCAGTTTCATCTCCATTCTCCGGCAGTACCTCCACTCTATTGTACTCTATGCATCTGGATTTTCCAATTGCTCTATCACATGATTCTCCGTCTCAGGTTCCCTACTGCACCTGCCTCTGGTCCAGCCACTGTTTTCACTGTCTCATCTTCTGCACTCATTTCTGTTTCATTCCCACTTCCTTTATCAACAGGAAATGAATTAAGCATTGCCTGGCTTGCATTTCAATTACCTTGTGAATCCCCCTGACTGCACCTCCCAATCTGTGGTTCCCCATTAGTCTGAGGTATTTGTATAAAGTTAGTGGTGCCTGATA